TAGAGCTATTGGCCTAATAAGAGGCGCGACAACGTCTTGGAAAAATTCAAACCATCTCTAGAAGGCTAGCAGAAGGAGGAGAATCCTTCTTAGCTATGAAAACCCATGCCAGAAAGGCTAGACACATTGACAACCTGTGCCCGTCCAAGACACACAAGCAAGAAAATGATAAGGTCATCTCACCATTCAGATAAGAACTTAGAAGGAATTCAGCACCCCCATGATGACCCATTGGTGTTGACTATGACTGTGGCCAACTTCTAAGTGCAAAGGATTTTCATAGATAAGAACAGCTCAGCGGATATCCTATTTGCAAAAGCTTATGACAAGCTTCGTCTTGGGAAAGAAAGATTACAGCCCATTAGGTCGCCCCTTATCGGATTCTTAGGGGAGAAGGTGTACCCCCTAGGATCCATCACCTTGCTAGTCACCACCAGCATAGTACCCTGAAACTCCATGGTGATGGTGAACTTTCTAGTAATAGTTTGCTCGTTAGCTTATAACTTCATATTGGGGTAACCCACTCTTAACACCCTATGAGCTGTGTCCTCCATTTATCATCTTATCCTCAATTTTTGATTCCCAAATGAAATTGGAGAGGTCCGAGGAAATCAGGTTACAGCAAAAGAATGCTTCGTCTCCTCCATAAGGATCAGGAAGCCACAAGAAGCACTACAAGTGGAGGTGCTCGACCCAAGAGATGATGCCTCATTGAAGAGAGGAGAGCTAGTGAAAAAGCTCACACCAGTGGTGCTAGATGAGAAGTTTCTAGATAAAAGTGTGTACATTGGATCCTCTCTTTGAGTTTAACCCACTAGCTCATAGACTTTTTGAGACACAATATGGATATTTTTGCATGGTCACATTGAGGTCGCCACCCACCACCTCAATGTCAACCCTGTTATAAGCCCGTTTGCCAAAAGCTGAGGAGTGTCTCCACTGAAAGGGCACAAGTAATGGACAAAGACATGAGAAAAATCATAGAAAATTAGGCAATTAGAAAGGTGGTCTATCCAGTTTAGCTTTCAAATGTGATGATGGTAACCAAAGCTAGTGGAAAGTGGCGCCCCTATGTTGACTTCACTAAACTCAATAAGGTGTGCCATAAAGACAGCTACCCATTGCCACAAATCAACATTATCATCGACACTTCCGCAGGTCATGAGCTGTTCACTTTCCTGGATGCATACTCTAGATATAACCATATCAGCATGTATCCCCCAGATCAGGAGAAAAGATCCTTTGTCACTCTGAAGGGCACCTACTATTACAAGGTCATGTTCTTCGAACTAAGAATGCAGAAACAACATACCAGCAGCTAGTGAACAAGATGTTCCAATCATAGATCAGAAGAACAATAGAGGTGTATGTGGACGACATGCTGGTAAAAAGTCTTGCTGCAACAAATCACATAGACCACTTGCAAGAAACCTTCATTGTTCTCAGATCATATCACATGAAGCTAAACCTAGAGAAGTGCACCTTTTGGCGTCGAATCAAGAAAGTTCTTGGGTTTTATGGACAACCAAAGGGGAATTTAGGAAAATCCTAATAAAATCAAAGTCATCCTAGATATAAGATCGCCTACTACAACCAAGAAGCTCTAGCGCCTCAATGGAAGAATTGCAGCTCTCAATAGATTCATCTTCAAGTCAGCAAACAAGTGCTTACCCTTCTTTAGAATTCTTCGGAAAGCCTTTGAGTGGGGGCCCGATGTAGAGGAATTTTTTCTAAAATTAAAAGTTTATTTGACTGCGCCCCCTCCTTTCACATGCCATGTTAGGAGAAACTTTGTACTTGTACCTCTCTGCTTCCCCGTCAACAGTGAGTTCTATCCTTATTAGAGATAACGAAGGAGTACAAAGGCCCATTTATTACATGAGCAAAGCATACCGGGGAACAGAGGCAAAGTATTTAGGGTTAGAAAAGTTAGCACTCGCCCTAATCTCAAATCTCAGCAGCGAGGCGTCTTTGCCACTACTTCCAAAGTCACATTATCCTCGTTGTCACGAACCAGTCTCTAAAGAGAGTTATGGAGAAGCCAGATGTTTCTAGAAGACTCCTAAAATGGGCAATAAAGCTGGGAGAATTTGATGTGCAGTACCAACCAAGGGCAGCCATCAAAGCACAAGCTTTGGCAGACTTCGTTGCTGAACTCATGCCAATGGAAGAAGAATACAGTGAACTTTGGAATCGCTGCAAGAGAATCAAGAAGCCCCATCCGAAGTCCAATTAGATACACAGGCGACTAGACCTGGCGCCCAGGGCATCCACACACCTAAAGCAAACGCCTTGGCATCCACCAATGCCTCTAAGGCCCCCTTTTTGCCACCTCCTTGGAAGCTTTATGTGGATGGCTCTTCGATCAACAAAGGAAGTGGAGCAGGCCTAATCCTAACTAGCCCAGATGACACTTCAATTAAGTATGCTACAAAGCTTCACTTTACAGCCTCCAACAATGAAGTAGAACACAAAGCTCTCCTCACCAAGTTCTGTCATTTCCATATTCACCATGTTCCAAGAGAAGACAACTTTATAGCAGATGCACTAGCTAGACTGACTTTATCTTTAGAAGCCCCACCAGGATCAACATTCATTGGTCACCAGTTTGAACCAAGCAGACTAGGCATAGAGGCCACAAATGTCAGCTGCATATCTTTTGAGTCAAATTGGATGACCCTAATTAGAGCATACCTTCAGAAGAGCACACTACCAGATAACCCATCGGAAGGCAAGAGGCTTAGGATGACAGCCTCTAAGTTCACCATCCTAAAAGGCATCCTGAACAAAAAAGGTTACTCTTTACCACTATAACACTACCTCTCCCTAGAGGAAACTAACTATGCCCTATAGAAAATTCATGAAAGAGTTTGTGAAAATCACTCTAGAGGTTGCTTCCTTGCCCATAAGGCTGTCAAACAAGGTTACTTCTAGCTTAACGTGATTAGGAATGCACAGAAATTCACCAAGAAATGCAACAAATGCCAATGCTTCGTCATTATGCCCAGGGAAAACAATAAAAATCTTTCTCTAAAACTCCTCCTAGCCATCAATAAAGGCATTTGCAAGGTCGCCCTCTAAATCATCCTTGACCTTGGTGGCCCTCTCATGAGCCAACTACATATCTGCCTCAACTCGGGAAACCCTCTCCTGAGCTGCCTTCACCTCTATTTTCACTCTCAAGAGAACAGCCTCACCATCTGCCTCAAGCTTAGCGGCCTTCTCGCTGGTCGCCACAACCTTTACCTCAAGCTTAGAGGCCCTCTCACGGGTGGCAACAAGCTTTGCTTTAGCCCTTGTGCAAGCAGCCTCTCTGAGCGTGGCCGTCTTACAGGTCGCTACAAGCTCAGCCTGGAAAGCCTCACCATCAGCATCGAGCTTAGCAATCCTCTCCTGAGCTGCTAGTAGCTCCCCTTTCACAGCTTCATGGACAAGCATCTCTTGCCTAAACTGAATGGCCTTTGAAAAGGGGCATATAGAAGCAGCTAAAACCTGAAGGGGATAAAAGAATGTTAGTACCTAAGGGAGGAACAAGAGCAAGGGAGAAAGAGGACCCTTACCTAGGCCAAGCCTTCCAGAGTAGTGTCAATGATACCTTCAATGCCCCGAGCACCAACCTAACTGATATCTGCAAGAAACACAAATCTCCCAAGTCACTCCCTAACAATCCACATGTCATCTAACATGGAGACAGTTTGAGTCGCTAGCCTTTTAGAAGTCCCTGCGGTAGGATTTAACGAATAGGGGGAAAGAGGTGTAACCGCCTAAGGAATCTCTGAAGGGACAGTTACCCCAGTAACCTCCGAAGGAGTCACTGACTGGGAAGACGCCATTGGAGGGGTCATCTGTGAGGGGTTTACCAGAGCATTACTCACCCTAGACATCTTAGGTGGAGTAATCCTAGCAGAATAACAAGACTCAACCACTGCTCTATCCACTGCAAAGGAGTAAAGTGTTACCTCACAAAAAAACTAAGTAAAGGAAGAGAATCCTAAGGGAATCAATATACATTTTCTCTTCAAGGAAGAGCCGCCAGGCCTGGAAAAGGGTGCTCCAACCTTAACATTTCCAGTAGGACAGTCTCCAGTTCCACTTTCTTTAAGCATGAGGGTTCCGAAGTCCTTCACAGGATGGGCCTTCATAGCTTACAATTTCCATTCTTGGTCTTTCGAGAGCATCGGGGATCCTGAAGAAATGTGATGAGTATACATTCGGAAAAAAATGAAAGAAAAAGAATAAGAATGGGTATACCAATTCTGTTAAGAGTATCCCATCTTGCTGGTACCAAAGCCCTATCAGCATCTAAAGCCCACTCTTCTCCAACAAACATAAAGCGAGCTTTCCAACTATGGAAATTAGAGCGCAATCTAATAATTAATTTACCTCCCCTCAGAATGTAGTACCAACCACGATTGGGTGGAAAAGTCTCACTCAAATTACAGGCTACACAAAACTCCTTAGAAAAAGCATCATCATGATGAACCTTCCTCCACAGTGCGAGGAATCCCAGCAAAACTCTCCAACCATTTGCCGCCAAGTGCCCTGACGCAAATGAAAAACAATAGAGAATGCGACAAACAAAAGAAGGCATGGGAAATCTTAGCCCAGCCTCAAGCACCTCCTCGTAAATTGCAATATCTCCAGAGGAGTTATCATAGGCAGGCTCACCCATTTCAACTCGACAGCATAGGACCACATGATAAATGCCATAAGTAGAAACAATTCGTTGAATATCAACATCAGTGTTGAGAGTACTAGTAATGGTACTTACTTTAGATTCTTCGTTATCAAAGGCTACCTTTCTTGGGTGTCTACTGTTGTGAGGGCGTGGAAAAACATCGCTTGAGCCACTACTAGGAAATCCTTAGGGGATCTGACTCCATGGAGTTCCACCTGAACGAACCATATCATCCACCACTTGATTGGAATTGTTGCCACCAAAAATACTAGCGCTTCCCGGCATATCAACCTTTGAAGCTACATGTCCAACATCCATCGCCATGTCTAGCCTGTCCAATATCGAAGATCCCGTCGGTGCTGCCCATTCACGCCCAACCGGTGCCACCAGCACTCACCAGGCCGTGCCCAGCGCCCGACGACATCACTATGTGTTCCCTTGGCCGAGCCCAGCCCACGATGCCCTCTCCATGATTAGCGCGCCCACCAACCAATGCTTGCAAGTCACCTCGCCTAGTGCCCAAGGTCGCCTCGCCTGGTGGTGCCTCACCCTCAGCGACCTGAGTCTCCTTGCCTCATCGGCGACGCCCATAATGCCTTGCCTTTGGCGGCTTAGGTCACCTTACCTAGCTCGCCCTCTGGCACCTCACCTTCGCCTCTCTTCACCTCTCCTCTCCAACTCTGACTAGCCCCTTATTTTGCTAGAGTTCATTTGGGCCATTGCATCAACACCGATCGCTCCGTCTCGCATCTCATCTCCTTCACTCAACATCTGAGCGCTCATATCAGGGACAAAGGCAGGAGCCTCACTCATCTTGCTTGAGTTCTTGAGTATCTCAAAAATAAATCCTCTCTTAAGATGAATGGAATGAAGAGAAAAGAAAAACCCCTAATTTATAGTCTAGGGTTTTTGAAATTTTGATAAGAGATAAAATGGGGGAGTTTACAAGGCGAGAGATGTCTTACAAAGATGAGCCAAATCAAGAAAAAAAGGGTCATCAGTCAAAAAGAGTCTCCCTCAGGTAGAATCTAAATTCAGCTAAATGTCCACTTCTGCAAATTTTATTAGACTCGGAGCATTAGGGGGGCAAATGATGGACTAGGCCTATGGGCCCAACTAAGGTTATAAGCCCAGCTTAAATAAAAGGCCCAACTATATGAAACCCAATGGGTTAAGCCCAAAAGAGATCCATGCCTAGTCAGGCTAATTAGGGCTCTAAGAGCTACGTCATCAAGGAGTAGGCAGTGTCATCTCAAGAGCCTCATCCACGTCGCCTTGGAAGAAGCTAACCACGTTGTTGTTAGACCTAGTCTTGAGGAGAGCTCTATAATTATCTCAGCCGTTACGAGGAAGATGTCAGCTCCATCAAGTTAGCTACTTAATCCCTGAAAAAGCACCTCATCCATTAAGAGACACTATAAATTGTAAACACCTCCAATACATGGGGGCATCGATCACATTTTGTATCACTCTCATCTCTCTCATAGTTTGTACCTCCTTTTGCTCTCGCTTGATCTCCTTATTCCCCTGCAGTAATAAAATACACAGGTCATCCTAACCCTTCATAATGGACTAAGTCACATTGACCAAACTACTCTATATTTGTGTCTTGATCATGTTATCTTTCTCTCCTTAATTACTACATTAATCACTAATCACTTAATAGATGGTGCATAAAACCAATTTGTGTACTATCAAAATCCATCTTTTTCTTTTTTGCCCCTTTGGTTTCACCATGCACATACCCTAGTGACACCATGGGTAAGACACAAGCATTGAAATCCACTGCAAAACACAATTGGACCCCACCGCAAACCCCAATTAAATTTGATGATTCCAAGAAAAACCCTAGGTATGAGCTCAGGTAATAAGCTCGGATCAGGAGGTCAGGCAATAACTAGAGCTCAATGATCCAACAAGTAAGGAAATGGAGAAGAGGACAACTAGCTGATGAAAGGCATCCTCATAGCAATGGGGAGCTATAATAAAGGTACATGACACTTAACCAACTAAAGATCTCCCTAAAATCAAGGGAGAACCCATGAATGAAGGGCAAAAATCTCTCTATAGATCCCATAGAGATAGGAATTGGACTATAAATATTGTACAGTGCCTCCATTGAGGGGCAAGTAACCCTAGTATCGTCAAGAACACTCTGTAAGTCATATCCACCGTGAATAAAGATTAAAGGAGAAAGAGACTCCATTGAAGAGTGGACTAACCGAGCTCCTAAACTGGTGAACCACTATAATTACAATGTGTTAATTCCTCAGATCCCCATTGAACCTTAGTCGTAACTCTCACGAGCCTTGCAGCTCAGCTCCATAATCCAAGAATTCTGTTCATCCCCTTGATTATACCATTAGTTTGGCCCCATCTGTGGGAATGATTGTTCTCATTACAAGTACACTGATCCTTCAATAACTGATGGTCTCAACCTGTAATATGAGCAGAAACCAAGTGAATCCCCTGTGGGTGCAAAACCAGTAGGAGAATACTTGCAAACAACATGAAGATCCACAAGATTTCTTCCTCACTATCGATGTCAATCCTCCTATGGTGGATCCTCCTACGAACAACGAGTTGGAGGCCTTCCGCTTGGTCAATCAATGCCTACTAAATTAGAATGAGGAACTCCTGAAGCTTTTACAATGACCACAGGAGAAACAACCAGCCCAAGGAGGCCAGAATGATCCCCCTCACAAGGAACAGTGACATCTCGACCCATTTAGGGAAGCCAACGAAGGAGGATAAAATAGCTAGGCTCCCCAATCTTCTCTGAAGAACAGATACAATGAATAGGTGCAGAGCCGAAGTAATGAGAATGAGAAGAATAACCTTTGCCCAGTCTAGCAGGAGCAAAAAGACCAATATTGGGAGCAGCGCTTCAGAGATATTCAACAAGAGATCAGCCACATGAAGGAGGCCATGAGGAGTAAAACTCTAGTAACCATGGACGCCTTGGTGCAGCAAACTGAGTCCCCATTTACTCTTGGGGTGTTGCATTTTTCCCTCCCATCGAAATTCAGAATGCCGCAGGTAGAAGCTTTTAATGGAACCATAGAACGTATGGACACCTGAATACTTATAAAAACCAAATAGAGTTGCATGGATATCAAGATTCTGTTCATTGTCGCGCCTTTGCCATAACCCTGAAAGGATCAATCTTAGCATGGTTTAACAAGCTCCCCCTGGCCTCAATCTCCTCTTTTAAAGAGCTCTCGATATCCTTTGTGTCTCATTTTATTGAAGCTCAGACATACAAAAATTTAAGCTACCACTTGCTGAATGTGAGGTAGAGACCTCAAGAAAACCTAAGGTCCTATGTTCAAAGGTTTAACTCGGAATCCCTAAAGGTAGACACCCCAGACAAAAAATTTGTACTTACTACTTTCATAGCAGGATTAGGAGTACAATCAAAGGACTTGATGTTCTCCATATCCAAAAATCCTCAAGCAAGTATGACCAAGGTGTTGGCTAAAGCAGAGAAGTATATAAACGGGTAGGAAGCTCTTCTCTCAAAGGTAGGGAGTTTGTATTCACAGAAAGGAAAAGAGAATGAGGAAAAGAAAAGGGATCGAAGTCCCAAGAAAGAAAGAGAAAGAAACAAGTCTCCAAGAAGAGATAGATCTCTCAAAAGAGATAAAGAACGTTCCCGAAAAACGAGGGGAAAAATCAGGGATCGTCTAGGTCCCCCACAGCCTAAGTTGCAGCCGAGGTATGCACCTCAGTAGTATACTCCACTCACTGCCACAATGTCCCAGATCTTGTATGAAGGGTAGAATGAAAAGTTCTTAAGATGGCCTCATCAAATGAAGGCAGATCCAGCGAATAGAGATCCTACAAAGTACTGCGAGTACCACAGAGACCACGATCACCATATTGATGACTGCATTAAGTTGAAGAAGGAGATTGAGTTCTTGATCCAAAGGGGGCAATTGCGTCGTTTTATTGCCCATGATAATTAGAACAGAGCTCTACCATCCCCAATACCTCAGCAGCAAGCCCCTGTGCAGCATCAGCAACCCCTAGGGGAAATCAGAGTAATATCAGGAGGATTTGTAGGAGGAGAGGAATCCAACTCAGCTAGGAAAGCTCACTTGCAAAGAATCAAAGCTGATGAAACACTGGAAGTACATACTGTATCCAAGACTCCATGTTTGGACATACCCATCATTTTCTCAGACTCAGATCTAGAAGGCTTCCAGCATCCCCATGGTGATCCCTTAGTTGTAAGAGCAGTTGTTGCCAACAGAACTATTCGTCGAGTACTGATTGACAACGGGAGCTCTACAGACATCATCTTTGCGCCAGCATTTGATAAGATGGAGATAGGCAGAGAAAAGCTCAAGCCAGTAAATACTCACCTATTGGGGTTCTAAGGAGAAAGGGTACTACCCCTGGGGTCAATATAACTCGTGCTCACAATTGGGGACCCTCCTTGTCAGACCTCCACTTCTGTGAAATTTTTGGTAGTTGATGCACCTTCCGCGTATAATATGCTTCTTAGAAGACCTTCCCTCAACTTAACAAGGGCTATGCCTTCTGATTACCACTTGGTTATGAAGTTTCCTATAAAAAATGGAGTTGGTATGGTCTGAGGAGACCAACGTGTGGCACGGGAGTGCTACATGGCGTCTGTCAAAAGGAAGAAGATCGAAAATATTCAACTGGACGAGCTCGACATAAGGGACGAGTTGGACACTAGACCAACACCATCAGAAAAGCTGGAACCAGTTCAGCTTGACGAAGAACCAATATACCTTGTCTACATAGGATCTAAGCTGAGCATAGAAATTAAAGACCTTCTCATCCAATTCTTGAAGGAGAATATAGGAGTGTTTTCCTAGAAGAAAGAAGATATGAGGGGAATTGACCCTTCAGTCATCTTACACAAGCTCAGTGTGAACCCCGCCAGTAAACCCGTTAAACAGAAGAGGAGAAATTTCACCCCCGAGCGGCAGAAGGCCATTAATGAGGAAGTAAGCAAGCTTCTTCATGCCAAAGCCATCAGAGATGTAGATTATCCTACCTGGTTAGCTAATGTGGTCCTTATTAAGAAGACCAATGAAAAATGGCGTCTCTACATCGATTTTACTGACCTTAATCGTGCTTTCCTAAAAGACAGCTTCTCTCTACCTTGGATTGTCTTGATCGTGAATGCCACCGTAGGGTACGAGCTCCTAAGCTTCATGGACGCATTCTCTGGTTACAATCAGATCAGAATGGATCCCAACAACCAGGAGAAGACCTCCTTTATGACGGAGCAAGGGACATACTGCTATCAAGTTATGCCTTTCGGACTGAAGAATGCAAAAGCCACTTACCAACCCTTGGTAAATCGAATGTTTCAAAAACAAATTAGGAGGGTAACCTGTATAAACGAGGTTTTTCAACACCTCTCCTCAAGTGTGTAGGAGACGAGGACGCAAACTATATACTTAGAGAGGTTCATGAGGGAGTATGCAGTAACTATATTGGAGCCCAGCCTTTGGCAGAAAAAATTTTTGGGCAAGGATACTACAGGCACACTATGCTCAAAGATGTTATAGACGTGGTTAGGAAGTATAGGGTCTGCCAACTATATGCCAATATCCCCCATTGCCCACCAGAGC